CACGGCGGCGGCCTCATCATGGGCGCAAACTCTTGGCCGCAATGGGATCCTGCACGTCTCGTCAATATGAGCGCCGACATTGGCATGCCAATAGTTGTCGTCATTATGAATTACCGACTAGGTGCACCGGGGAATCTGACGAGTGAGGAGTTGAGAAGTGCTGGGTATCTAGGAAACAACAGTCTGAGAGATCAGAGGTGTGCGTTGAAGTGGGTGAAGAAGTTCATCGGTGGCTTTGGAGGTGATGGAGAAAATGTTACCGTATTCGGGGTTAGTGCCGGTGCTGGTAAGTTATTACAAGTCGTTATCTTAACGTGGATCGGGGGTGTGCTAATATGAGACAGCCTCCGTATTGCATCATCTGAGTTGCAAAGAACCATTGTTCAGACGTGGGATCAGCATGTCTGGAACGCCGCTCATGCTCAAACCACTCTCGCCCGCTGTGGCCGAAAAATCTTACAAGGCTGTTCTGCAAGCCCTGGGACTCGAAGACGCTTCCACGCATGATCGTATTCAGAAGTTACTTGCCATGAGTCCCGAAGACCTGGTCCAGAAGATACCAATCAAGATTCCACTCGCTCCATACCTGGATGGCGACATGATTCCCGAAGCGCCCTCATTCGCGAACTTATCAAATGGTACGCTCCAGAGCTTAAACAACACTCGGTGCGAGGAGTTGTTGATCGGCTCGTGCGCAGACGATGGAAACGTCTTCTATTCCATGGGACTGAGTTCGCGCCTTCCTGGCATCGCATCCGCAGTCCATACATCCTTCTCCCGCGACCTCTCGACATCGGTTGCGCAAGCCGTCTTATCTGCATACGGTATCGCACCTTCAACTCCAGACGAAGAGGCGTTGGCTTCCATCGTCGATTTGGGAACGGATATCGCTTATGGGCTCCCTGCACGGTATTATGCTCGCGCTTTCAAGGGGAGGGTTTCCACGTATCTCTTCACTGAGCCAAATCCCTGGGATGGTATGTTCAAGGGGAAGAGTGTACATTTGCTTGATGCGGTGTTCCTGTTTCAGAACTTCAACGAACATCTATCTGAACAAGCGAAGATGACGGCGAGGGAAATCGCGGAGAACTTTGTGGCTTTTGCGTATGGGCGAGCTGGTGGTACTGGGGCGGAGGGCCAGAACAAGATATACGGGCCCCAATCTGGCGATGTTGACAAGTTGGACACATTGAGACAAGAAGGAGCTGTCGATCTAGATGAGGTCAGTGTGGCGTGGAATTTGTTTGTTGCTGGGAAGTAGCGGATGGGAGCTTCCAAGTTCGATCGGGCACATTCGTCTTCAGCATCTGAGTCTTCTACCTGCTTAATCACGATACCAGAAAAGTTAACATGACTAGTATCTTGGGGTCGTATTTTCCCATGCGTCTCGGCATCGGTTTACCGAAAACGAAAATGCACGTCGCTCGCGAGTGTCCGCCGAGCGCTTTCACCCCCGCACGCCCCATACAGTTTAGTGCGGGGTAAACTTGGCTCTGTCCTTAACTCCCGACGTGCAGCATGTGGGGTCTTCGAGCACATCCCCACGCCCCATAAACACAGCGACGACGATGGTTGCCGCGCAGCTTAGCCGGGACGATATTTCCGATCGGCAAAGATGCGAGAGCAATGGTGTAGTAAGGCACACCACGCTTGTGCGACGGCGTATCGTAGCTTCCTTCCTACAAACCTCCGGAGTGCTTCTTGTAAACACCTTGGATCTTGATTTTGGTGAAGCACAAAACACAAAATCGACATGTCGAAACCAGTAGCTATCGTGACAGGCGCCGGCTCCGGCATCGGCGAAGCAGTCGCAACCCACCTCTACAGCAAAGGCTTCAAAGTCGTCGTCGCAGACCTCAACCCCTCGTCCGGCGAGCGCGTAGCCAGTGCACTCGGGCCCGACGCCATATTCCACCAAGTCGACGTCTCATCTTACAAGTCCCAAGCACAGCTGTTCAAACGCGCGTATGAATGGGGCGGCAACCGTTTGGACTTTTGCCACGCCAATGCTGGTATTGATGACCGACAGAATATCTTCGAGGACATGGAAAAAGAGGGGGTAGATGAGGACGGGCTGGTCAAGAAGCTGAATACGAAGACTATGGAGGTTAATCTCGAGGCTGTTATTCAGGGCCTGTGGCTGTTCAAGTATTATGTCAGGAGAAGTAAAGAGGCGGGTGGAGGCAAGGGCAAGTTTGTTGCTACGAGCAGCGCAGCGGGGTTATAGTAAGTCATCTCCTTCCACTCTCCTCAGTATTTGAAAGACACAGAAAACTGACAACACGTTCAGCTCTATGACACAATGCCCCCAATACACCGCCAGCAAATACGGCGTGATAGGCCTATGCCGCGCCTCAGGCCCCGTCTTCGTCAAAGAAGGCATCACCGTCAACGCAATCTGCCCAGCTTTCATCCCCACAAATCTCTGTCCACCAGAGGTAGCAGCGCGCTGGCCCAAAGAGCATATCACGCCTTTGTCTACGGTGAACAAGGCTATGGACGCTTTTCTCGCAGACGACACCTTGACTGGCCAGGCGGTGGAATTGTCACAGGAGAACATCTACTTTAGACAACAAGTTGACTATCCGAATGAGAGTCAGCGGTGGATTGGCATGGAGAGTGATAAGATCTGGGATGTGGGGTACAAGGAGCCACCGAAGAGGGCAGGGTACTAAAATTGAGAATTTGTATCAATCATATGCCTAAGTTCTTGGAAGACACGAAGTATTTGGCTCAACACAGTCTCGGCGGTTCCAACTGAACCACAAGCTCGAGGTCATGCATTTGAGCATGCTCTTGAACTCGTGGTTGAGTTTGAGCCACCTAGACTGTCTTGAGCCCATATATCTATGAATACCAAACTACCCAAGTCAATAATTCAATCCTTGCTTTTCCGCTCTCTCGCTCTCCTCCCTCATGACCTTGGCATGCGCTTCACTCCTCGGCCTGATGTCGCATTCAAAAGGCTCTGGCACGCTCATAAACCCTGGCTCCATCTTCGTATTTACCTCGACCTCTTCTCCGTCTTTCCCTTTCTTCTTGTTGAGGTTGAACCCCCAGAGTATGCGCGATACGTTTATGAACAGTGAGCGTTCAGCCACATGGACACCAGGACATCCACGCCGTCCCGCGCCATAGGTGAAGTGATCGCGCTCCAGAGGATCGGGACTGTTCATGTAGTGTGCTGCAGATGCGGTGTAGCTCAGATAGCGAGATGGGTCGAAGGCCGTGGGGTTGGACCAGAGCGTTGGATCGTTGTGTATCGCCCTACAATAAGAATCAGTCAAATGGTAATGGGTAGGGTAACGGGGAAGGAAAGTAAACATACCACCAATTCAACACAACAACACTTCCCTTGGGGATAAACCACCCCTCATACCAATCATCCTCACTACTCGCATGCGGCATGCCAAACTTGTTCACGGGTCTCCACCTCAAAACCTCCTTAATCACACTCCTCACATACGGCAGCTTCTCCTCATCCTCCCACGTCGGCAACCTATCTCGCCCAACGACCCTATCCAACTCTTCCTGTGCCTTCCTCTGCGCGTCAGGAAACAAAACCATGCAAAGCACAAAGTTATTAAGCGTCGACCCCGTAGTTTCGGACCCCGCTTCAATAAGCCCACCACACGTATACGCCGCAGCCAAATCATCGATCCCCGATTTCTCAGGCCCATTCAGATAAAACGTCTTTGTGAAGCAATCTTTGGCTACACCAGCATCCGTATCCTTCTTCAATTTGTTCCACAGATCGAGGTACACTTTACTGTCTTGTTCGCACAGCTTCTGTCCATGTGTTCTCCAGTTACCGAAAAGCCATTGCGGCAGGGAGGCTAGCGCGGGGAAGGAATCTATGGCCCACGCGCCGGGGGCGGTGTTCACGGTAAAACGGTCGATGACGCCGTAGATGCGTTTGATCAGCGGGTCGTCCCAGCTGGGTATCCGGTAGCCGTACGTCACTTGCATGATTACGCTGGCGGAGTAGCGGCGGTTGATGGACATGAAGTCGGCGGGGTCGCGTATTAGTTGTTGTAGTAGGACTTTGCTTTCAAAGTCTTGGACTGGTTGGTAGTTCGTGCTTGCTGTCAGGTTAAGGAGTGCGTGGCTGTGCTTGCGGATACTACGCCATCTCGGTCCGTATGGCATGAAGAGTTGGCGGCGGCCCGCTGACAAAACGTCTTGAGCCATGGGGGCTGGGGCGCGGGAAGAGTAGATGTTGGATTTCTTGTCCATGAGGTCTTTTACGGCTTGGGGTGAGGAGAGCCAGATGTAGTCTGTTCCGCCGATTTTGGTATGGAAGACATGGCCGTATTGCTTGCGCCAGGCGATGGCTTTCTCGCGCACGGCTTCGGTGTCTGCGAGCTCGAAAAGGGATCCGACGAATGGGTGGCCTTTTGGTCCTGGTGGGAGGTGGCGACGTCTTGGGTCCTGCCGCCGGGGTTAGTGGTGAGATGAGATGGGCTATGTCATGAGAAGTGTCACCTTGATCGCATTTGGTACGACGATGAAGTATATTGTTAGTAGAAGAAGTATTGGTGTTGAAACAAGTAGTCCAAGTTTGAAAATAAAAGATGATTGCCAGGTTGTCTGAAAAATGTCGAGGATAGCCATGTCGGGTGATTGCTGTAGGAAGGTAGAGAAAAAGGTCAATGACTTGAAAGCCCACCCCGAAGCACCTAGGCAGTGACCTGTAACGTTGCTTTTCTGTTAATACAGCCTTTATGTTCAGACTTTCCAAACTTTAACGTACCTGTTCGTGAGGCTGCGTAGTTCCAAGAGTTGGGGTATACCTAGGTAGTTCGTGGACCCTGCAGCTTCCCCGCAACATGGGCCCCACAAGCCGCTGTACCCCAGGATACTACAACACGGTCCTAGTGAGACCAAGTCGGCATTGGATGTGAGCAAAAGGTTGGGAACGAGCACACATCCCGGAAAAGTGAAAGGGATTGAGGAGAGAACGATTCGAAAGCTGCAACACCCAACACCCCATCCTCAATATGCCGTTAGAACGCGACGCCTCCGGTCGAACTTTCATCCACCACCCCTCCGGCCAACGGACTCACTACATCATCAACGACTTCACCGACCCATGGAAACCACAAGAGACAGTCTTGATACAGCATGGTTTCGGGCGCCACGCCGCCTTCTGGTACCACTGGATTCCCGTTCTATCTCGCAGATACCGTGTCATACGACGGGACTTGCGAGGCCATGGATACTCCAGCTACCCTCAAAAATCGGAGAATTATGACTATACCCTAGATACGATATTAGGCGAGGTTGTCGATACGCTCGATCAGATGGGTGTGGAGAAAGTGCATTTCCTCGGTGAATCGACAGGAGGCATTCTGGGCGAGATATTCGCAGCCAAATACCCGGAAAGACTTCTGAGTCTGACTGTTTGCTCTACACCAACTTATTTGCCTCCAGTGGCTTTACGACTGTTCGCTTTCGGTAGGAAGAATTGGCCGACAGCGTGCAGGGAGCTTGGGTCACGAGGCTGGGCAGAAGAGTTGTCGCGGATTCCTGGCACGATCCCGGTCGCAGATCCGCAATATCTTCCATGGTACTTGGAACAGATAGCTATAAGTGACGGTGAGGGATTGGCTCAATACGCGGAGTTTCTGTCGACGTTGGATGCGAGGCCGTGGTTGGAGACGATCAAAGTGCCAACATTGATTCTGTCGCCGACGCAGAGTGCTGCTGTGAGAGTCGCAGATATGAAAGCTCTAGCGGAGAAGATTGAAGGAAGCAAGCTCGTGCTTGTCGAGGGTCCTGGACATGAGATATACGTCACTCAAGCGGAGCAGTGCCAGCGGGCGTTCCTGGGATTTCTGGAGAATCTGGACAGAGACATCACTAGAGGAAAGAATTAACGTGAATAGTAATGGGTATTTTACATTATAGAATGCTGCATATATCATGCACAGAACGTACTCGCTGGTATCGCTGTGGACCATTTTAACGGCTCCAAAAAAAACGACCGCCCAATGTCTGCATCAAACGCCGTCAATGCAAGTGTGAGTGGGTTTTACCATCATGCTCCTAATGCGCCGCTATGCAATAGTCATAAAACATGTGAAGCCAAAAACGTGAGTGCTCGGTGCGAAGTGTAGAATCTAACGGGGTCAGTGGTGTGAAGTGTCACGTCAACCTAGAAAAAATAATGAACATGTCTGCAGCCTACATGAACATAGAAACCTGCAAAGTAGGCGGCCTAACGTCGATGTAAGCTCCAGACCTGTTCAGCTTTTTCCTTGTATGAGTTGGTGTGGCAAATCATGCGTCCTGTCGTTCTCGTTCTCGTCGTTCATTCATATCCAGGGCCATCTTCTTGCTAAACTCGTAGCAACTGATCATGATAGCGCATGCCGGTGCGATCTTGAGACACCGGGCAGCCCAACCCTTGAACAAGCCTGGCATGCCTTGTTCGCGGTAGATGTGCATCAGGAATCGTGGCATGGATTGGTCTTCTGGCCGTGTCGAGTTCGCAATGTCTTTAGCGGTCTCGCCCATGTGCCGCGCGACTTGTTGTCTTGTCTTTCCGACGTCGAATGGTGTGGTGACAAAGGCAGCGACTGCTCCTGACGTGGCACCAGCGATAAAGCTATCGACTAGTGTATCTCTGTGGTTTTCCTGGCTTCGAGATCTGCTTCTCCGTCGTACCCTCTCCTCACCGCGGCCCATGCGGAACTCGAAACCATCGTTTCTTGCCTCTCTTCGTCCTCGTTGGTCGGTCAGAACGTTTCTTGTGGCTTCATAACCCCACCAGTAGAATGCCGAAAAGGGTACGTCGCGCCAGAGGGTCAGTGTGAGGCCCCGCCATAGACTGAAGACTCCCTGGTTGCCGACCATGTCTTTTAGTCCGTCCATTGTGTCTCGAAAGTGTCCGGCGGCGGTAGCGGTGGAGTTGGCTGCCTGCATTCGCGTTCGGAATATTTCGATCGGGCCTACGGCTATCGCAGCAAGTATCCGCGCAGTCGCTCCTGCCACTAACGGTATGTACGCATCGGATACGGTCTGTCGTAGGGGCGAGGCTTGCGCTGTCCGCAGCCAATCGTATCCGGCGAAGTAGATGACGTTTGCAGGTACTGCCATGACCAGGGTAGGTGACAGTCCTCTCCAGAGTGTTCGCGGTCCCTCATTCTGTGCAATCTTGCGTAGCCCATCCCATGTGCTATTTATTGTTTTCCGTTCGACCTCCTCTACCGCACAACTCAGATCGGCGGGGTTGATGGGTGCCATGGTAGGCCCCGCCACACAGAAAGGTGCCTTGTTGTTCATCCAGAAGACTTCTCTACAGCAAGACGATATGCCGAGGTTTGGAGGCAGATCGCGGAATTGAGTGAGTGTGGCGCCATTGTATCCGCGTGGCCGTGACGCTGTGTTCGAGACGGTTTCTTGTGATTGTAATCGTACGCGGACGACGTCGAGGGGTGTGACTGGTGGGCGTTAGTATCGAATTCCATGATGCGAGTACCCAGATGTGCAGAGTTCAGACGGGATAAGAACAACGCAGTCGGAAAGACGTATGTTGAAGAAATGTGCAGATATTGCATACCTAGTAACGACGTGAGGACACTGCCAGACACTGCCGACAGCATCTTTTGTCCGAGCGACACATCGCCCACACCGCTCGGGTCCGCTTCCTCGGCTCGCTGGGTGGCCGTGGCCATGGTGCCGGTGGTCGGGATGGCAGCGGAACGGCGTGTTACCTCTCAGCGGTGAGGGTGGTGGTGTCAGAGGGCTGGATGGGCGAAAAGGGCGTACTGCGCATTGTTTTCTGGGGTGATAGGCAGGCACAAGTGGTGACGAAGGCGACGGGAAGCTTTGACGCAAGGACTTAATTATCGGAGGGAACTACGCACTTTTGGCGCGTCATTCCCGCGCCGCCCACGTTGCGCCCCCGCCGAGTGATTGGACCGCCGGCCGACCGTCAGCGAAGAAAGGGCGTTGGCTTATCAGATGGCGCATGGGTCGGGGCTAGATCATGCATCGAGTGGCGCCCATCATCGCCTCGCCGTGACTTCACAGGCCCCTTCATGCACGCCTAATCGCTGTGAACGGAACATTGGCCTGAGTCACACTTCGCTGTATCATGTATTCTTGCTAAAAGCCTGCTGCTAGCCTCTGCATTGTACCCTGCACGCCCTATCCTGTCGACACCTGCGACTTCGGACATACCGCATCTAACCGACAAGTACTACCGATCTTGGCCAGGTTTGTTACCATGGACCCTAAGGACGTTTCCACCAACACCGAGGCCGAGCTTGAGTCTTTCCGCCAGAAATGGAGAGAAGAAGTCACTGCCCGGGCCAAAGGTAAGGCGCCTGCATCGTCGGCATCCGCAAAGCCCACCGCTACTTCCTCATCCACCGGCAAACCTCATCCAAGCAAAAGCAACGCGCAGGATGCTCAACATCACACTCGTGCCCGGAGTTTGAGCTTAGAAGGCGGTGACGAAGTCAACTCATACACCTATCACAATCTGGGCGAGAAGCAACACGGCCGGAGACTTGATGAGACCAGTGCCCAGACCGCTGCCGCTATTGCTGAGGAGGCAGAACCAAGGTCTGCGTTAGAACACTATGAGAAGGCCGTAGAGAAAGAGAGTCAAGGTAGTTTGGGTGATAGCGTCGATCTATACAGAAAGGCGTTCAAGCTCGACTCGGGAGTCCAAGAAACCTACAAGGCAAAGCACTTTCCGCCCTCATACTTCAAGAAACTCAAAGCTGCACAAGCTGCACAAGCGGCAATTGCATCGGCTTCACCAGCTGCTTCAAAGCCCCAGGATCCCAACCCATCCAATGCCTCCGCTACAGTGCCTAATACCGCCCACCACTCCCTACATGGCCTCTCGCCCTCGTATCAAAACCTGATCAGCGAATACGCCAGCACCTCCATCCTCGGCGAAGTACCACCAACGGAATTCAGTCCCGCGCCACCATGTCCAATTTCCAAAATCCCAGAAGAAATCATCGTGGAGATTCTGGAGCAGCTCGCTGTGCAGGACATAGGATCCTTCGCCCGTCTAGCCCAGGTATGCAAACGCCTTGCCTACCTGGTAACCACCGAAGACCGCGTCTGGAAACGACTTGCTATCGGACCTGAATACGGCTTCGCGTCCATGCACTACACCTGGTCATGCGAAGTAGGCGGGAAACCCCTCGAAGACGACCAAGCAGGCGGCATCACGCTAGGTACCGCCAACCTTGACCTCTCCGACAGCGAAGAGATAGAACCTGAGTCTGAACCACTCCCTCCAGCACTCCTGACCCAACTTCTCGTGCCAACTCCCTACCCCACCTACCGCGTGCTCTTCCGTCAACGCCCGCGCATCCGCTTCAATGGCTGCTACATCAGCACAGTAAACTACACGCGCCCAGGACAAGCCGAGCCCACGACCTCCTCCTGGAACTCACCCATCCACATCGTAACCTACTTCCGTTACCTACGCTTCCTCCGCGATGGGACGTGTATCTCGCTACTTACCACGACCGAGCCCGCTGACGTAGTGCCGTATCTCTACACCGAACACATCCGTAAGAACCACCACAACCTACCCAGCGCGCCGATGAAAGATGCCGTGCTGGGCCGCTGGCGTATGAGTGGACCTGAACCGGGTAGTGGGGAACAAGAGGGTACGGTGCATATTGAGAAGCCGGGAGCGACGCCAAAGTACATGTACAAGATGGCGCTTAATTTTGGTAATGCGGGCAGAGGGGCTAAGAACAACAAACTGGTTTGGCAAGGGTATTGGAGCTATAATCGGTTGACGGATGATTGGGCCGAGTTTGGGCTGAAGAACGATCGTGCGTTTTACTTTAGTAGGGTCAAGAGTTACGGGATGAGCTGGGATGAGAGGGGGATCAAGGAGTAGGAGTCGAAGATGCGAAGTTGAATGTTAGCAATGAAGAACTGCCGATAATGATCACTGAATAGGCAAATAGTTGTGAGAAGTCCATGAATGCTGCACAGACGTGTGAACGTGATGTTGTTCAATTCTTCCTTTTCGCATTATTCATAGACAGCTGTCTCTACGACGTGGCGTAGCATAAGCGTGTCCGTGTTGTGGTATACACTCCTTCTCTTGTCTCTGTGTCTTTACCGTCTGGGCATGCCGCGGCCACGTCCCCTTCCGCCGAGTGCCCTTTGGGCGGCGCCTGGTGGTAGCGGCCTGTTGGGTGCCTGTGGTTGCTGTGACTCCTGGTTCTCTGCTTGTTGTTAGCACTTGCTGACTATACGACATGGTTTCACATACTGATTGTTTCGTCAACGCTCAAGATGAGGCAGGCCGCCTCTGTCGCCGCCTGCAGAGCGTTGACCTTGACCAGACTAGGCTCCCACACGAACTTCTCCATGTTGTTTGCTATGCTCTCAGTTGTGAAGTCGACACCGGCCCAGATGTTGCCCTTCTTGTGCTCTACGCGAAGGCGGTTGAGGATGTCCGTCGCGTCGACACCGGCATTGTCGCACAGTTGCCTAGGAATGACCTCGAGTGCCTTCGCGAACGCCTTGATGATGGGTTGCTGCTTGTGCGGGATGTTACTGTCGGCGTAGTTGTGTAGGTATGATGAGATCTCCATCTCGACAGCGCCACCTCCGGCAACAATGTTCCTGTTCTTGATCGCACGCTTGACGATCATGATCGCGTCGTGTAAGCTTCGCTCGACCTCGGCGATGAACTGCTCTGCGCCACCACGGAGCACCAATGTGCAGGTCTTGGCCTCTGGGCAGCCCTGGAAAAAGTTGAAACGCTCGCCACCGATTTGTCGCTCGTCGAAGGATTCGCAGGTTCCGAGATGCTTGCTCTGGATGTCGGAGCAAGTAGACTGGAGGCTCGCGCCCGTTGCCCGGCAGACACGGTCGAGGTCGT